GCCGCCCGCCCCCCCCCCGGGGCTGGCGGGGCTCGGGGGCGCCGGGGAAGCGCATCGCCGCGGGCAGCGGGGCCGGGCTCCGCCGGGACCCGCTGCTCGGCTCACGCCCCGCTGCCCCGCAGATCATCCTGCAGTCCATGCACAAGTACAAGCCCCGCGTGCACGTGATCGTGCAGGACGCCCGCTTCGACCTGGCGCAGATCCAGTCCCTGCCGGCGGAAGGCGTGAAAACCTTCTCGTTCAAGGAAACCGAGTTCACCACGGTCACGGCCTATCAGAACCAGCAGGTGAGAGCCGGCCCCGGGGCCAGGAGGCAGGGAGAGCGCTGATGCTGCACTAAAGGTGCCAACCTCCGCTCTTCTATGCCTGACTTCACACTAACCTGCTAACTGCCTCTCCCTGCCAGGGAGATCTGTGGGAGAGTCATGCTGTAACCCTGAAGGTCCAGAGGCAAGAGTTTCTTAGCATATGAAACCTTTTATTGGAGCCACCCTGTAGTTGAGATGAAGCTAGACATGCTTTCCAATGCCAGACATTTGAATCATGTGAGGGGCAGCTGGGCAATGTCACTGGGTGCTCACTGCCACAAGGGTTGTGTCTTGAACCACCCCTGCCAGGTGACTTTACCTTTTGGGGCCTGGCTTGCAGCCTCCTGCAGTTGTGCCAACGAGCTAGGGGGCCTGGATGGTCCTTCACAGCAAATGATCCCCAGCATCCCCAAATTTTTATAGTAAAAAGGATTGCAAAAAATAAAATAAAATAAATAAAATAAAACAAAACTGTACCAGGTAAGAGCAACAGAAGGGAAAAACATCTTTGTGTGACTGAGGTAAATACTAATAAAAGCATGTTGCTTTGAACTACTTATAGAGGTAGATATTTATAGTAGAAACAATTCCCTGTTCGGGGCAAATCTTGCTGTCCATCTCCACTGAAGTCAACCAGAACTATTTTTGTGATCCCGGAAAGCAGATTTAAATTTAAACTTAAATATAATTCACCATAACAGTCAGCAGAATGAGGGACAATTATATGTCTGTTCTATAATTTTAATTCTGCTTGCACGCAGTTTTTCTCATTCACTACTATTATTCTTTATCTTGTAACTTTTCAATTCATAGATTACAAAACTGAAAATAGACAGGAATCCCTTTGCTAAAGGATTCAGAGACCCTGGAAGAAACAGGTAAATATTATAAGAACTCAGCCAGAATCTGTAGTTACTTGTACTTGTATAGACATGATACTGGCTCCGTTTCTTATTCCTTTTAGTGTTAGATGGTTTTAATTTTAGACTGAAGTAACTTTGTTAACTCTTGGCATATAAAGAAAAAATGAGAAGCCTGCAAGACAGATTACAGAGAATATTTTACTGAACGCTGTCTAGTAAAGTAATAAGACAAAATATCCATAGATGCAATTCTGCACAATAGCTTTTTCCATCAAGTCACTGATTTCTAAGGTTTACTTTATAGGGGTGTGTTGGATGGACTTTTGGAAACATATCCATGGAGACCACCGCTTACTCTGGATTTTAAGACTTTTGGTGCAGAAAGCCAGGGTGAGTTCTGAATCTTCAAATAGCCAATAAAGAGTAAGCAAACCCATAAGCATAACGCAGAACTCTTCTGAGCACTGTGCATGCATGAGAGAATGCGACATTTGCATGAATCCCAGCGTGGGAGATGGCTGCATGACAGAGAGATTCTAATTCAGACTCAATGACTAAATAGAGATTTTAGCCTTTCATCCATGTATATGTTGAATAATAAATACCTAGTGGGTTTTTTCTTCAAGCGAGACAATATTTTTACATTAACTGTTTAGTATTTTACAGTCAGATGATATAGAAGAATAAATAAAAATATAAGAGAACTGCAACGAGCTCTCCACGGGACACTGTAGTACTGTTTCCATGAGGCTTCACGTAGGTGCAAAAGTCCACCCACCTGGGGCTCACTGAAGGATCGTCGGCCCTTGTTTCTCTCAGACAGATAATATAACCATTTAACATGGTTAAGTTAATGTCCCATTTTTGAACCGTTGATGGCTGATGGTAGGACCTTTTCAAGGACAGAGCTTAGCCATAATAGAAACTGTCCTTGCTGGTACAGGACAGCCTGAGTACCACTCTGTACAGTGGGAAGTTTGGATTCTTAGTTTAAAAGATAAAGACTGTGAGTTTTTTCAGTTGTAAGTAATGTGCTTTCAGAGTTGCCTATACACTTCCAGTAGTGCATACCACATATAACATTCCCTGGATCTAGTTCTACATACCCTCAAATAAATATTATTTTATGAGATAAAATGAGTACACACCACATATAACATTCCCTGGATCTAGTTCTACATACCTTTTGTAAGAAAACCAGCTGCTTAAGTCAATTTAAGGCATATTAAAATTTTCCCTATTGATATTTTAATAGTGCTTTAATGTACATTCATACCACACAGCAAAAATAGATAGTCGTTAAATAGGACCTTCCAATGTGTATGGAAAAATATCTGTTCAGGTATTTTGGGGAACATACATAATAAGATTTTTACCTTGTAATACTGTTACCTTGTTAAATGAATATTTTTTTACCACCCTAAAGAATTTTCTATAAATAAGATAAAAGTAATGATATATAGTCAGATTTTCTATAAGCTTGCCTGCCTTTTTCCTTAAAAAATCAAGTATTTAAATAGTAGAAGGAATGAGAGTACTTAGAAAGTAATAATCATGATGCATTTAACTGCTGCAAAGTTTTAAGTAGGTGTTGCAAGGCTTTTCAAATAAAAATCATTTTTACTTTTAAAACAAATAGTATTTCCACTGAAAAAATGTTTATTTGGATCTCCACTTTCATATTCGAACAAAAATATCTATTGGAAGCATTGCTTGAAAAATTACTCATAGTGCTGGATGAAAAACTGGGAATCTTGCATCGGAAAATTCCTTTTTAAAGCTATGATTGCCAATGTAATGGAATCTTTTACATTATGAAAAAATGTAGGCTTTTCTCTTGTGGCATACACACCCCAGCCTCTCTGAAAATGGGACTATTTCTTATTTTATAAGATCAAAAACACAAGATGCATAGGCATAAAGGCCTATGCACATAAACATAAATTTAATGTTGGTATGAAATTGTTTTTAGTTTGGATTTAAGATGGCTACTAGTGCCGTATACAAAAGATAACTGTTCAAACCTATTTGGAAGTTGACAAGTCCCAGAGGAGATGTCTTACTGGGCAGAGTGAAGCCATGATGATCAAAGTTGGATAATGAATGTGGTTTATCACACAGTAATCACAGGATTAAAGAGAGGTAGTTAGTTAGCTGTGTTAGTCTGAAGTCGGGAAGAAGACATAATAGAGTTACATATTATAGACTAACTAAACCAGAGGTGCATAAGCTTTCATAAGCATCTGATGAGGTGAGTTCAGGCTTTTGAAAATTTATAAATCTCTGATTTAGTTAGTCTGGAATATGCAGCTCTACTCTGCCTTCTGCTTGATCACAAGATTGCTAGCACACTTTATTTTGTTTGCTAGTTTATCCCACTAGTGTTTCTTATAAAGCCCAGTTTCCTGGACTCATGTAAGAATCTCAGCTTTCATTTCATAAAAGTAAATTTCTAGACCTCATGACTATGGAGAAAAGCTGGGAACCATAAATTATAGGCTCAGAGAACCTGAAGGCAAATTAAAATATATTATTAATATGATAGACAGTTTAAAAAAAGACTCTGCTATGCACTTGCTGGTTTTGATACCAAATTAAATACAAAAATATTTTCTTCATTTTCTAATTTTTTAAAATTACTCATTTTACAAAACAAATAAGGGAACAAACCCAGAGCTATATTGGGAATCTTACAATATACAATATTAGGGACATTTTAAAATGGAAAACAAATATTCTATGTACTGCCCTTTAGCTAGTGGCATAGGATCTACTTGTGAAAATTTAGATAAATAACTTTGGCTTCACACATATGGGCTTGCATCACTTAACATGACCCCAAAGCCCTTTAATAGCAATGGCAATTAGGAACATGCATATCCAGAGAAGGATAGATCCCTGCCCTGCTGCCCTGCTTCTGCTCCTAATTAAGTCAGTATTAAAACAGCAATTGATATCTATGGGGAAAGGATGACACCATTAATGTGCTAAATATCAGTCTGCAGTATTTCTACAAATAAGCACCTGTGGTGCAAGATGATACTCAGTAATTTTAAGAACCAGATTAGTTTCTACATTGCATTGTTTCTTATACCTTTGTAGTATGGACACCTTTGATATACTGACAGATATAATTATATAAAGAATTCCATATGGAACATTACACACAAAGCCTGATTAGCTAATGCTAAGAGTATATTTCCCTGTATTATCATGTGAATGTAAAAGAAATCCTAAACACATCACAACCATTTTACAAATTTGGTAAAATGTAGCCCCAAATCACAATTTTTTCCTTCCTAAGATATCCACACAGCATATAAATAAACTAAAAGAAACACACACAGTCCATCAATTTTTGATACAGAACTCTGCTAAAGTATCCATAAAGGAAGAATAGGACTCTTAAAAGGAGTAAGATTAGTAAAACAGTGTCAGTTTAGTAACAGGAATGGACATCCCTCTGGTACATTCCACTCTCAGGGCAACCAGCACTTCTTAGTTTTTACTCTTGATGTTACTGAGCAGGGGCAGAAAATGCATGCTGAATGTTGGTGTTACACATTAGTAATATGTTAAGAACTTGAACATATAAAATAAGCTGTATTGCAACATTTTTAATAACAATCATACATTTTGAATGTATTTCTAGTACAGTTAGGAAAGTACTTATTCATTGATTTAAAAAAAAAACAGATAGCAAATTGAAAAGTAAAATGTAAAGCTGTTTGGGAGAGAGTGATTGAATTCAAGTATATTTTTAATATTTTTCAAGCTGTGTGGAAAGCTAAATAAAGTGAATATATTCCTGTGAAGATAGACAAATTATACATGAATACTGAATAAAAGACAGACATTCTCATTTAAACATGCAAGGGAAATATCTTGAAGTCACAAGGAAACAGAACAGCTAAAATATTACACTGCCTTTATAACCAGGACAAGGTAATCAATTGTATATGAAGGTAGTAACTCAAAGTGTTTTAAGTTGTGTGTAACTTTAAGAATATGAGTAGTACCAGTTACATTAATGGGATTACTCACATATATATAATTACATTGCTGAGCTAGGGCCACAACAAAACAACAACAAATATGATTTCTTTATTGGCATATCATGCCATGCTTGCAGAGCTCCTTTTGACATCAACATGTATTTGAATGAAAAATAATAGAAGGATAGCTTGAGGGGAGGGGGTCTGGTTTTCACCCTAGTTACTTATTCATAACTATCCAACAACATAATTTTGATGACTTTTTTGCTTATATTTCTAGGTGGGAGCTCCGGTTCTTCCCCTGTCACCTCCAGCGGTGGGACACCATCACCTCTGAACTCCTTGCTTTCTCCATCTTGCTCACCTCCCACATTTCACCTGTCTGCAAGCAACATTGGAATGTCGTGCCCTGAAACCTACCTACACAATCTCAACTTGCCTCTTTACTACAAGATTTGTCCTTCAAGTCTTTTGAGACAACAGTCACTTCTATTTCCAAGCCAGGAAAAACTGGGAGGCACCAATCCACACATCATACCCCACTTCATGGTGGATATGCCCATGTTATCTTCCCTTGGCATAACAAATCTGAAAAATGGTAAATCTGAAGACTTGAGTGGGCAATGTCTACAAGTACCCAATTCTGCCAGTCAAATGTTGTATGGATTACATGCACCTGGAAACATTTTCCCATCAAGTCCCATTGCCCGGGAAGCACTTAATTGTTCTTTACATCCGCCATATGGCTTGTATGGTTATAACTTTTCTGTGCCATCTAGACTGATGAATACGGCCAGCCATTTCAAAGTGAATGATAGCATTCCAACCTCTTTTAGAGATGGCAGATGTAATCACTCCAACTGGCACTCAACAATTAACCATTGCCTTTAATGGGACTATATAATCATTTCTTACACAAAGACCTGGTAGCACATCTTTTCTTCATTCATACTCAAAGGTTTGCTGATTATTGAATATAAAGCGCTTCACAATTCAGGAGTGACCTGTCTAGAGATCAAACTTTTCATACACAAATGTGTCATAATGTTCTGAATGTGGATGACAATGAGATAATGTTCTGAATGTGGATGACAATGAGATAACCAGCAACAGTGACAACTTTCCATGAGAATAATTTATGTAATGTAGGATAGGAACAAACTGTACATTCATTTTCTTAATATTTGCACTCTAAAGTAGGACTGAATAAATATATAGTTTTTCAAATATTATTTTCATGAAAGTCTTCTTCAAACTCTCTTTCATTTACCTTGAAGAAAAGGGGCAATTTCTGCTTGCCTGACTCATTTAATGGATTTTAATTGGATTACATGAGGCTTTTAGCAAGCCATCCATATTAGACGAAGTGTTTGAACATATTCTTAAGGCATTCACCTTAATGCATCCTATTTAAAGCTAAGCAAGTGCTTTCCTGATTCAGGGCCTGAATGATTCAGATTAGCAGGGTTTGGTCACAAGATTTACGCTGAAGGAAAGAAAGATAAAGACCAAATGTTAGATCAGAGATTGGAAAAGGGAGTCTGCTGACATGAGGTCATGAAGAGCCTTCTTCTACCTGTGCCTCTACCAAAATGGGCATGGAGGGGAGGATGGGCCATGCCTTTCTTCACCTTGGCTGCCTGGTCTTTTGTAAGAGGTCAGGAAGCAGAGCTTAGATTTGTAGGAAGTGTGAGGTGAAATGTCTCTACTGAAGCAACTGCTGGGTCTATTCCTCTGTGTTAAGAGCATGTCAGAGAATAATGGTTGCCACACTGGATCAGACCTCCTGTCCCCTAGATCAGTATACTGTTTGAAAGTGGCCAGTACCAAATGCTTTGAAAAGGCAAGAAGCTCTACAGTAGGCACATGAGATGTCCATGGAGACAGAACATCTCATATTGCTCCCTAAAAGTGACAAACGTCAAAGTAGGAGGTATTAAATCTCTTCCAAAATATGCATTATTGATTATTATAACCCATGGATAGGCTTATTTTCCATGAACATCACCTTTGGCTTGCAAACTCACAATATAACACTAACAAGATTCTGAAATAGGAGGAATGATTTTGTTCTTTATTTGATCAATGATCAGTCCCTATCTGAAGTCAGTTTGAAAACTTGATATATGGTGAATTTTATATATGTAGAAAATAATTGATAGGGATTGACCAAATCATGGCATTAAGAAAGGGTGAGAGAAAGAATAATAACTTTACAAACATAAAAATGACATTGCTTTGGAATTAAAAATGGATACAAGAATTTTAAAAAATCAGCCAAATTCTATTTCTAATTTCATTCACAAATAGAACAAACCAAATAATGTCAAAAGCTGTTTAAATAAACACAGTTTATCTGAAATAGTTATTGATTTCCTGAGTTTACTGGGTTACTCACATCCTATTCACGTCAATAACAAGTAAATGCACAGGGCATGTATTAACTCTACCTTAACATTAAAACAGTATGTTAGATTATTAAAAAAGGACACCTGCTTTTTAATGTTTTTATTAGCAATGACACTAGTTATTTTTATTAAGGTGAGACACTGCACACAGACAATATTTATAATGAGGTGTTTTACTAATCCCTTGCCAGCCATAATAGGCTGCCTTATTCATGTGAGTAATTCTGCTGAAGAAACAGGGCCCAATTCTAAACACTGGTGTAACAAAATTCAGAAACTTGCCTCATGAAGATGGCTTGCAAGTAAAGGGAGAAAAGAATTGGCCTGTAATCTTGAACATATTCTTGCAGGAGAGGGAAGTCTCTTCCAAGTCAGTTATTTCTTTATGCAAAATGTAAAAGGTAAAACCTACATTTCACAAAAAACAGTTGTGATTAAATAAAGCATTACAATCATACTGGATAGGACATCATAATCTAAACAAAGCCAGTATTTCTCCACTTAAAAGATCTTACTGAAAATCTCAGCTAGACATTTTCAGCATGGAAGACTGTACGTAATACTATCACTCTACTTTTAATCAAGCAACATATTATTTTTATCTCCTTAACCTGAGTAAATATATTATTTGCCAAAATCCACTTCTTTTTCCATTCACAGGACATTTTCAAAACAGACTGTGATTTTCTCAGCTGTTTTTATTATTTGATTTTTTTTCTCCATGCTTTTGTTTACGCTATGGCAATTTGAAATGAGAAACTTAACATTTGAGTAGTATTGTTTAGTTACTGTTAGTTCATGTAAGTCACATGATGATCTTTTTTGATTAGATGTGCTAAATTCAGGTTCCTGGTGGGAATATTCACAGAAAACCCATTTAAAGTGAAGTTTCTGCAAATGCTTGAGCGGACAAGCTTCACATTTGTGTTTCTTGAGCATGCCAGGAAACTCAATCATGTAATTATTCATAGAGAGCCAATAAGGAATGCAGACACCTTGGACTCAAATGATTTTTAACGAATATTTGCTGAGCATTTTTTACTGTTTTTATGCAACTTTAATTTTTAGCTTTATGTGATTGTGAAATTGCTGACAAACTTTTGGTGTTTGTCACATGCTTCCAATAAATTGAAATATATATTACAGGCTGGCAGCTTCAAGTATGAACCAAATCCTGCTCACTGATTTACTTAGAGTAGCTTCAGTGAGACAGCATATAGAGTTCAGCCTACAGAGCAATATTCAGTTCAAAAGCTAAATTCTATTTTTAATTGCAAATGCTGGACTCCACTTAATTTCCCTTGAGTGTCCAAATTTAATGGAAAATGGAGATGTATTAGATGCATAAAGGATAATAATATGCTTTATGGAAAGGCAGGTAATATAAATGTGAGATTTTAGAATATAAATTATATGAATTTATTTTACCTTCATTATTTGTTATCTCACTATCCCTTATCTCCTAATTTTATAATGTCATAAATCAAGAACTTAACTGTAAAGCAAATGGATCATATTAATGAAATCCACATTATTAGTTCATATCTGTAAAACGTCTTTTTTATAGAAGTTCTCTGTCTATTACTCATTTAAAGGTGAATAATATTGAATTCTACTAGTAACTTAAATGGTAGCAGACTCAAACCTATTTAGAGTCACAAGACCTCATAACGGGGAGTGGAACATTCTGTGCAGTCTACTTGCTGTGGAGCTGGTGCCATCTGTAGAAAGTCTGATCTGACTTTCACTGGGAAGAATGGCAATTAGTCCATTGACTTTAGTGAGTGGGGTTGAATGTTGCTAGGTCACTAAGCCTTAGTGCAAGGAACTTATATAACCAGAACAGCCTTATCCAAAAAGGAAGCAACACTGAATGGAAGTGTCTAGAGAATATTATGCACTTTATACATATTACAGACAAAGTGAGTTTCAGAGTTCTGTGACTGAGAGCACCTGTTGAAATAATTAAAATCTACATAAAATAGAAATTATATCCCTGCTATGTTATTCTAAATATAGTTATGCTCTTGCCACTGTTACACTAAAACATTAGATGCATATCTGCAGAACTTAGCTCTTCACATGGTCTAATGATTAATCAGGACAATACAGAAAGGGGATGAAATCCTTTGCTACATTACAGTGACAGAACCTGGGGAAATACATATTCTGACCCTCACACTTCAGGCGTTGTGAAGGCTGAGAGGTTTTCTTTAAACCTAGGAGTTATCAGTGCTTCAGAACTGTAGTTGGGTATTTCTGCCCTGGTGGCCAAAGTTTGGTTAACCATTTTAGGTTTGGTTTTCTTCTCCCTTCAACAACAGTTCTACACTGTTAGCATGAGTGAAAATACTTTTGATTTATAGTGGTGTAGGCAATAGGAAAACCAAACCCGTTGGTTTTAGAAAATATAACTTAACATTCCCATTTTACTGAATAGCTTCAAAGCAATTGTATTTGCATTCCGTTTTTTCCCTAGTTCCATAATGTTTCTTTGGCCAGTTTATGATAATAACCAGTTTTGGAATTCTGTCACCGTTTTGTGGTGGCTAGTGAAGTTCATTGATACTGCAGAAAATGGGCTTATACCATGTACAGAATAACCATGGGAAAAGGATGTGATTTGAGTCACTCTGTGAACCATTAGAGGACTGGGTCACATTTCCCAATCTGTGGAGCTCATGAAGTTCAGAAAACTAGAATCTCAAGTGCACTTCGTACAACTAGACACATTGTGGAGATGAGAAGGCTTCTAAGTTTTGGCAGATTTACGGAGTATAAGAGGAAGTGCCTTCGTAACAGTCATTATGATATTTTTGTTAGAAGCTTTTAAAGAGGTATGTGTAGGTTTGTTTAGGATAGATAAGCTGTACCCAAATTAATCAATGACTCACATTACTTTGTTAAAATATGCAAGGGAGAAAAATGAAAGATCGTATGTCTATAAAATGCATACATACGTCCAAATTCTGCACACCGTAATTCAGTTGGTTACTATTTTTAAATAAGAAAGGAGAGAAAATCTTTCAGTTTCTACAAAGCTTAAACTTGTTCAGTAATTTCAGCAATTAATTAACTTACATAAGAGAAGTAGACTTATGTTCACATTTACAGTACTCAGAAAATTAAGCTGAAAATACTGACGCAATGTGTGTGTACTCCACTTTGGAATATGCTACATTTGTGTTTAGAAACCTACTTTTCAATGAGACAAAATAACAATTGTGTTTTTGAATCCGACTGCAGTTTGCCAGTTGGTTTCACTGGAATTTAATCTGTTTATTGGAGAAGTTTAAAAGAAGCCAAATGCATAGATTGATCATTGGTGGTAGTTGCTTTGATATAAGTGCCTTAGCATATATTTAATTTTCTGAGGTTTGGTCTGTAATTAGATGATATAATTTGCATCAAAATAATGTAAACAAACCTGGATTGGATGGCAATATAAAACAGAACAAACAAGTATACAGAATATTTGAAACATATCCAGTATTAAAACTATTTACATGTGTGGTTTGGGCCACTACAGACATGCTGTTTCAATAAACTCATAGAAAGAGAAAAAAGTGAGTATCACTTCCTACCAAAGTTTCAAATGTTCATGTTTACAAATTTGTACTGCACATTAATATGTAAACATCCGTTATTGAGAACAGATGGATATGCAATATTTACATGTTCTTTCTTGTTAGTTTTACAGTATGTGTATATATACACATGTACATACACAGGTTTTGACTCGTAAAGCACCTGAAATATGTACTGACTATTTAAAAACATGGCTGCAAAACCAGCCAAATCATACCACATTAA